ACTGATCTGGAGAGATTTGCTTCTTATACGTCCAAGTAGCCACACCTCAACCATAAACAATGGGAAAGAAGCATGCAAAGGAAATGATGCCAGGCTTTTAAATGCATTTCTCCAAGCACAGAATACTGCCTTCTATACACAATAGGTTAGGCACTCTCCCGAATTTTAAGATAATATTTTTGCTTTCAGGCCTGTGACACAAGACGAAAGATCAACCTCAGTACAGAGTCTCTACTGGTGCAGAGAATAAAGGAATCCACAAAATACGTGCATCCAAGTCATGCACATCTATATATATAAAAAAGCCATCAAGAGCGTAAGAGAATTTTTACCAATCATACCGACAACCTAGAATAGCAGTTTATTTTTACTCCATCTACCACATTAGTCATCTGTCCATTCTGATCATGATTTGCACAGGGCCCCCGAGTGAAAATCTTTTTTAGAACGTAAACAGCAGCAGCTATTAACATGTTCTCGCAATCCTGCATGTTCTTCCTGGAGTCTCCATTAAAACCTCCATACTGTGTCAATCCAAATCATGCAGCCAACTATCCTGTAGTCTGGTTGGGAGCCTTTCTGAATGAGTCACCGTTCATTCATTAGCTGTTAAGAAGGCTTGTCGTTTAAACTATGTTACATGGAGGCAGAGGCTTAGAAGAAGAAGGTGGGAACACATCCTGGCTACATATAACAAGGCCAACAAGCAAACTGATCAGCAAGACTTCTTAGGCAAGGCCCTTCCATGTTTGATACTCGGTCCAACTTCAGCGCCAGATGTTCTGCGCAGGGGCAGTAATTTAGAAGATTAGGAAAAGGGGGAAACTAGTTCAATGTTCTTTAATAGCCTCAGTCCAATGAATCCTCTTTGAACCCCTCCCATACATGAGAAATTGTCCTTTTCGTCTCCACAACACGCTCCAATATCTCATCCATGATGGCTTGCTAAGTTCATTATAGGAAGTGAGCTACAGATTTCGGGGGGGGGGGGGGCGGGACGACCACGTTTATAAGCTTGATACATCTATGATTAAAAGCAACATGGTCATGACAATACAGATTAGTCAACTACTTTAAAACCAACAGCCCTTTACAAATAATGAGTATAATGAAAAGAAGGGGGGAGCTGGGGGGGGAGGAACAGAACATCTTTTTAGTCTTCATAATACGTAAAACTAAAAAGGTAAAGTACTACTCAGGAGTGTTACGAAACTGTATTACACTAAGATTTTTCAAAACAAAACAAAACAATCAGGATTGCGTCTATTTGCTGTAAGCTTAAAGCAACATGTATTAAAGAAGTTTATGCGAATCATCTAATGCACTCATGCCTATTATTAGAATTATTACCCAGCTAAAAAAGATTAATTTCTCTAAATACCGTAAATCCTCAGACACTATTATAAGGCTGCTGCTAATGTAGCAGCACTAGATCTTGAATGCAAGCAGTATCCCTCCACACCTTATGCTTTGCATCCAAGACCTACAGAGGGCATTCCAACATCATTAGAAAACTATGTCAAGCCACATTTCATAGGGGACAACCTTAACTCAGAAGCAACTTCCCAACCAAAAAAGAGACATGAGAAGAAGTAAAGAAAGTACCAGCAATCCAAAATGGCAAATCCAGTGACTGATTTGTCACTATGTGTAGCGACGAAGATCCTAATTCACCCACATGCTTAAGTCCCCACTGGTGTCAGTGGAAGTTCTATTCCTTTAGAAATGAGGCTCAAAACAATACAGACACACTTCAAGAATAATCAGAAACAGGCTTGACACTTGCAGTCCTAAATCTAAACAGTGTCTTGTGGCGAAGTTGCCACACACGAAGCAATATGGCGAGGCCACCTCTAACTGGGATGCTGTGTGCTCTGCCTCAGTTTTCACGGCGACAGTCCTATTTGAGACCTACCAATGAGGAGCAAGTAGGGGCAAACTCCTTTGCCATCCACCAAACTGCAGGTATACGGGGCTCCTCCCCATAGCACAACATGGCCTCTTAAGTTTCTGCCACAAAAGCAAATTAAACTTCTGCTTCTGGGCACACTGTTACGATGGAAGCAAAACAGACCCAGGGTTAGGGGCAAAGTCAGGTTTTTGCCCCCAACTGAGCCATATTCCTTATGGCAGCAGAGTACTTCTTCCCATTCAGGTGAATGGCATTCATTTCTCACTACTCTTAAGAGGGCTTAACTTTGATTGAAGGAGGAGGAAATCTACTTCCACTGGGATCACCAGTGCTGGGGCTGAGTTTCTACTCTCCAACTATGTCCCTAAATTGCAGTCTAATTGCCCACGGATTCTACAAGAAAGCAGAGAGTTTGCACGCTCCTCCCCCCTCCCCAGAAGAACACCAGGGCCAGGCTCCAACAATTGGTCTAAGAAGCAGCAGGCGCAGGGAGTTTGCTTCCCAGCCCTCTTCTGCCAGAAATGCTCTGCTCCAACTGTTAAGTTCCCTAGGACTGTAGAATTCATAGAATCATAGACTTGGAAGGGACCACGAGGGTCATCCAGTCCAACCCCTGCAATGCAGGAGTCTTTTGCCAAATGCAGGGCTTGAACCCACAACCCTGAGATTAAGAGTCTCATGCTCCACCAACTGAGCTATCCCAGAGTATTTGGGGAGAAACCATCTGGCTTCTGCTACCAGCCAGAGGGCTAAGAGCGAGAGCATCAAGGGAAGATCAGACTGGCCACAACTAGGTAGATGCATCCACCTGCTTACAGCTCACAACTATCCTCTGGCATGGTCTGATCTTCCTCGTTTATCTTTTTTCTTCTCCACTCTCCTTCCCTTATGTGTCCTGTGTTTTTAGTTTGTAAGAGCCTGTTCCTCATTATTTTTTATTTTTATTGGTGCAAACTGTTTGGGGAGAGAACATTTGTCGAAAACAAACCAGGCCAATAAATAAATAAAAATGCCAGATTATTTTATTCCCCTTTAAGTACAACTGCTTTTCTATGGGAAGGCTACAAATCAGGGCACAGAGTTGCAATGAAACCAGCCACAGAGACTAGGGCTAAAGTTTTTTGTGGCCCTCTCCTTTGCTTTTTTCTTTCAAGACAGACAGTTTCCTGCTAATTCATGCTGTCACAGCCTACTCTTCTTCACGCAAAAGCAAGTGCTTTCCATCAACAAGTCAGAAAAACATCTTCTAAAGATTGTTCATCATTAGGCAAAAGGATCTCTTTGGGGACTTGGTCAAATCGAATACACAAAACCAGATCAATGCCCGGCCATCTGCCAATTTTCTGGGAAACATAGTTCTATATTCCTGGTATGGCTGCATCAGGAGGAGATAAAATTAAAAATGTAGGTTGTGGATTTAATATGAAACTCTCCTTTCAAAAGTTGATTCTGCAGATAAAGAATGTCCATGATAAACACAGAGCAATGCACATTTTCGAAGTTTTCTTCTAGCCTAGGAAATCTGTCTACAGTAAGCTCTCAAACCTTTTACTAAAAGCTGCTTTAGATATCATCAAGAAGAGCTATTGTCCTGGAGTTTGTGATCCTCAGTACAGAAACCAGGGACCCAGTTCATATGTTACCAGAACAACTACTCTGAAACCATATTTATTTTGTCAGGTCTCACCCTGCTCCAGCAACATCCAGAGAGATAAGCAATGGACGAATTATCCCACTCTTCCCTGTGTTAGTGAACCCTTTTTCCCAGGGAGCTGGTCTGAGAAGGAACCATATAATTCAGGCAACGCTATAGCTATTAACTGAGAGGCAGAAAGCTATGGAGGGAGCAGCTCCCCTAATGATCTTAACTTACAAATCATGTGAGAAATTGATTAAAACCAATGGGGTCTCTTTCCAAGTAAATACTTTTTAACCAGACTGCTCACTTCCGACTCACTTTCCCCATAGACCACAGCTTCTCACCCTGCCTATTATTTTGAGGCTCAGCTCAATGGAAACGTGGACAACATTCGGCAGCTTGCTTTTTCTCCATTGAAACTCATCTCCTTACAAATCCTTCAGTCTGTGTGTTGCAAAAGAAAAAGGACAAGATGCCTTTCCTTTTATGAACTATCAAAATCTACATCCTCCTGGGAATCCATGCTCTGCCATCACAGGTAGAAGCTGACAAGTCAAAGTTTATCCAGAACAGTTAGCTTGGGGCAATGTCCCCTCTAACAGGATAGGGTCACTAGAAACAGCTTCTAAGGTTATCCTCCGTGGGGCTTGTAGCTCTATAGTTACTCTCACAACATTTTCCCCCACCTCTTCCACTATAACAAAGCAAACTCCAGATGCTCGTATCGCAGACACCTGCTATTTATTTGGGGGTAATCAATATCACATCGAAAAACAAAAATGCAAGATTCTCCACCTCGATTCAAACCCTGCATACAATACTTCACTCTTCCTCTTACAGTCAATTTTGTACCCACAGCCCATACAAAAATTCAAAATTAAAGAAATAACGAAGTCTGCATTGCAGTCTTAAGGGGAAAACCTTTGCACTGACACATTGAACCGAGTCCATTGGCTCTCGAAGGCTACAGTTCTAGGCCCACTTACCTGGGAGTAAGTGGGGCTTACTTCCAGGTAAACATGCACAGGATTGCCCTGCACAGCAACCTTACGACAGATTCATAAATACAAAGAGGCCCCGATGAGCTTTCAGAGACATTCTCCTCCTGGAGAAAGAGCATTCCACATTCAAATACAGCCACTCACTTATGTCAGAAAGGTTGCAAATGAGATTTCAACATGATAAATATCGCCACTGCATCTCTCCTTCACCCTGCTTATCCTGCGTGCCACTAGGAAGATGCATGGCGATGTAACTAGATCAATATGCACCACCTTAAAGTACTCAAGATAAGTATCTGAACTAGATTCACATAGCTGTGACTTTATAAAATATTATTCAACCAAGTCAGAATGGCAGCAGTGGCAACACCCTTTTCTCCCCATTTGCTCCGGTGTGCCGTATTCCCATGAGTTTCTAGTCAAAAGGATTAAAAATTAAGTTACTCACATAATCATGAAAGGCTTTTGCTTCACTCGAGTGTTCGCAAGTATCTCGCCTTTCCGGAGCTGCACAGTAAAGGTCCCAAAATACACTGTAGGGCAAAGGAAAGAGAGAGAAAGAGAGGAGACAATGACTATGAACCTGTACAATATACAACACCCCATACAGTGTTTGGTAGGAAGTCTAGCCATGCCAACAGTTCAGCAGCAAGGAGGAGAAGCATTCAGTATATCACCTTTGTTCCACTTGAGACTTCCACCTCCAACAACATCCAACTAGAGACAGGCAAGATGTGCATTTGGGGGTGCAAATGTTATTAATGTGCAGATTCCCGCGAAAGTGTCCAAAGACAAGCTGAACTTGGGGAAGGGCCGTGGCTCATTAGCAGAGCATCTGCTTTGCTCGAGGAATGTTCTGGGTTCAATTCCTGCCACCTCTAATTAGGACTGGGAATGCCCCCCTCCCAAAACTTGGAGAGTCACAGTTAGTGACTCTGGAACACTGGAAGAGATGGGCCAATGGTCCGACTCACTATAAGACAGCTACCTGTGTTCCTAGCTTTGGGGCATCCAAGCTCCCTATATTTAGACTCACTCGTTTGTTTTAAGAGATTTCTTTCTGCAACCATTCGCTTCTGCTCATCTTGCCAGGGCTAGACCATCCTGCTGTTTCCCCTCTATGCTCAGGCTGAACTTTTACTTTTGGACCTCTTACACACTTACTGCACATTCAACAGCGTTTTTAATCGCCCTCTCGCTAGAACCGAATGCGTCCAATTCCGGCTGTTGTGTTGGTCCATTAAACCCGAACACATCTCCCTCTACATATGAAGCCATCTTCCAAACCAGAGTGCAATCCATTAGAGCTGTTTCAGTTTGACATTAAATGCCATACTGTCAATACAACATTGATTTCATCTTCTGTCTTGGATGTTGCACATATATAAGCACTGCCATAATGGAAGCCCCTTAGATAATAAAACTCACTGTCCTCCCCATGTTAGATGCAGTCACTTATACAATTGCTGACTAATCTAGTGCCGTGTAGTGGGCAGAGTGTCATGAGGAGACCCAGGTTTAAAATCTCCACTACCATCATAAAGCTCACTGGGTGACCTTGGGCCACTCACTGGCTCTCAGCCTAACCTACCTCCCTGGGTCCTTGTGAGAAACACATGGGAGAAATGGGACAACCACATACACTACCTTGAGCTCTTTGGAGGAAGAGTGGAATAGAATAAAAATATAAACACCCCCTTTTCTTTCTCTCCCCTCTCCCCCATAACCTCACAATGCATATTGACAGAAATTTCTCACATTGAATGTAACATGTAGAAAGGACTCTATGAACTGAAAACAGATGTTATGTTGTTGTCCATAAAAATATTTTAATAAAAACCTTTAAAAAAATGAACAATTTCAGTCTCCCCAGGCATTCAGGTAAATAATGTGGGGTGTCAGAAAATATCCAAAGCGCTCCTGCACGGTGGTTGTTTTTCAAGTATCAAAGACTCCGGGTGCTAACATATTTTTCTTCTCAACTTCTTCTGACCAGTACTGACTGCATAGCCTGACGCCTGACACTATGCACAAACCCCAAGCACTGTAACAGACTGGGAAACAATCCAAACAGCATTAACCTGGGCCAGCTGACGGAGAATGTTCTGACAAAAAAAAATGCTTCTGCTAACTACACACTAGAAAGAGAAATAAAAAACCTTTTAGCTCTCCTGCTCTACAGGTTCAGAAGCAAGCAGCCTTCAACTCCATGCGCTACCTCAACCTCTTCTACTCAGATAAAACTACAAACCAACCCACAAGCCTAATCCAAAAACTGCACCGCTTACCTAAGCAACATGTGTCCCTCAGCTCTCCATCTTTGGGTGTCAAGCCTGTCTCACATATGGTCATGTTGAAAGCATCCTGTTCTGCATTACTAGCAAACTGCCCAGGCGCATAGTAACTTCATCACATGCAAATGGTATCAATGGGGTTTACTGTCAAGAATTGCCCTTCGGAACCGGGGTCTAAGAAATGTTTCTATCACCCAGCATCACACTACCAATTGCACAGCTGCTCCAGTCAAGTTGAAGCTGCCCACTGGACTATCTGCGCCTCTGAGATAAATTCACAAGGGAGAGACAACCTCATAGCAAGTAGCATTGATCAGGAACTCTGTGCAGAAGCTAGGGGAAAGTGCCAGTGTTTCTTTGAAACTTTTTAAGTAAAACTAGAAATCTATCTGCAAGACTAATAAAGCTCTTCCCAAGAAAATGTTTCAGGAGAAGGCAAATACATTTATAAAAAATATCAGCGCCTGATCTATCCTGTCACACATTTACACCTTAGCATCATAACAAGGGTGGGGGAAGAAACAGAGCAATAGGTGTAACTTGTAGAAGTACTCCATATATTTTATTACAAACAGTAACACATAACTGTCCTATGGCTGCACTCTGAATCACCATACATAAGGAACTAAAGGCTAGAGCTAGACCTCCCCTTATGCCTTGCTTAATGATAAAGGAAAGCTCAAGCAACATCTATTTTGTATGACTTGGAAACAGTTACAACGACTGATCAAGACTTTCTTCAGTAGCTTTTTCTCCAACACTTGCTGAACTAAATCCCAACTAGGATGAAGAGACGAGCTCACAGTTCAACTATGTCTATTTCTCAACGCAGGAACACAAGATCACTCCAAAACTTTTGCCTGGGACATTCTTTCCCACTTACAGTCAGTTAAGCATGGGAGTTTCTATTTTGGGGAAGAGAAAGCAGCAGCCCACTTACCACCACCACGAATGTAAAAACCCAGGAGGTTCTCCTAGTGTGATGTTTTTTTCCCATCGGATCTGTAAACAGCAAAGGGTGCAAAGAGTTTAGATACTGGGAGGAAAAGATGCTTCCTCTGCCCCCAGCCCCCACTTCACCTCCCCTTTCCCCAAGCAGCCTCTGAGGCCCAACTAGCAATAAATGGCAAAAGGTGATAAAAAATTCAAAATGGAGGCTACAGTGCCTGCTTCTGAAAACAAAGGCCATCTAAAACAAGGGGTGAGGGAAGAGGGTCAAAAGTAAACAGAGCCACTCACCTCTGATAAAAAGGTCTGTGCTGATTTCTGTGCTCCTACATGCAGCAAGTATTCATACACATACAAAGCTAACCTGTAAAAGGACGGAAGAAAAGAAAAAGTGGTAGAGAAGGAGCAAGCGGCCACTGTGCGGAACAAGACTTTATAGGATTGTCCCACTTCCACGCTGAGCTTCCTCTCACTTCAGTGGGGATGAACCCAGGTTTAAAGCAGGGCAGTGAAGAAATATCACTTCCTTCCTGCCTCCAGTGCAGAGAGCAAGGAGCGCTCTCCTTCCCGCCCCGCGCAGCCCCCATCCCACCTCAGAGATAAGTTGATACTAGCTAAGGGCAGGAAACAAAATGCAACTTCTGCAGGCACATGCCCCATTTGCAAGGCAGCCAGCAGCATCCCCCAGCCATTCATTAAAGCTTCCAGGAACCCAAAGCGAGGTGTGGGGAGGGGGGTTTGTGGTCTTTCTCCACTAGTGCCTGGACAGATTTGGGGGAAGGCCAGCTGGGTCTAAGAGGGGTCCCCCCACCCCGAAATCCTCTTCTACCCAAGCCCCCCGATTTGCCCAAACTTGCAAACTCTAGAAGCAAAGTGGGAGGGCCAAGGGGAAGCCTACCCATCGCTCATCGCCTGGACAAAGCCCTTCACCCCTTCCACTTGCACAGACGGACAGACACTTCAGACAAAAGGACGCGGTGCATGCGTTCCTCCATCGTGCTTTCCGATCCGCCACCCTCCGCTCTCCCTTCCACCACGAAGCGGCGGGACCGCGGTAGGGAGAGGTCCTTTCCCCGCCACGACCACCCCGCTTCCACCCCTGGATCGCAGCCTCCATGCCCGTCCCCTCCAGATGCCCGAGCTCCCCGAAGACAATGAAGGGACGGCGAGAACGCCTGTCGGAGGAAACCATGCGCGGCTGCTCCCGGGAGTCCCCTCCGGTGCCTGGGCGCTTACTTTTCCCGAGCCTGCCCATCCGAGGGCACCGCCGAGCCTTTGCCTTTGGCGAACATGGTCCGCAGCAAGAAAGAGGCGAAACCGAAGCCGCCGCCGCCGCCTGGATCTCTCCGCTGCCGTTCGGTCTCCCAAGCCTCGCGCCTTCCCTCAGCTGTGGCTCGCCCAGGCTCCTCCGCTGGCGCCGCGCCGACCGCCCCGGTTTCAGCTGTCAAAGCCCCAGCCCCGGCCTCGACCCCATCGCCCTGCCCCTCTCCGCGGCTCCGGCTCCTTCCTCAGCTGCTGCTCCTGCTGCTGTTGCTGCTGCTGCTGCTGCCGCCACCGCGGCTGCCCCCGGCTCAACCGAACGTGGCTACACTAGGGATGGAACGCGGCGGGCGTCAACGTTCCACAATGGATACATTCCCCGGCCAATCGGCGGTCTGCGGGGGGAAGGGTTGCTCCGCCCCCGAACGGCGAGTTTAAGGTGGCACCGGGGGAGATGCTGCCGGGCAGGACGAGGTGGAGAGAACCGCGCGCCGGCTGCTTCCTAAAGGGTCCCCTTGGCTGGGGGGAGGGCCTCCGCGGCTCCGCCTCCTCCTCCTCCTGCCGCTGCCGAGGGGCTGAGCTGCCTTCCTTACCCGGCTCCCTCCTCGACCCAGGTACCCTCCCCTAATCCCAGCCTCCCACCAGACGCCCTCCCGCTGTCTCGCTCGCACCATTCACCTTTCCCACATGCGCCGCCCTGCTCTCACTCCTCGCCCCAGCCTCCCCGCGCGCCGTTTGCACCCGCTACAGCACGATCCCGCGCCGCACCAGCCAGCAGCCCCCTCGGCGCCCCATTTTGCGCCCGTGGCTGCACCTTCCTCGCTCGATCCCTATCCTAGCTCTCCTCCTGCCCTTTGCTTCTCCCTCCATCCTCTTTGCTCTCGGCCGCCCCAGTTTCTCCGCCTTCCTCTGCCTCCCGACCTCCCGCCTCCATTACCTTTCATATAGCGCTGCCCAGGCTGAAGCTGCGATCCTCAAGCCCCTTCAGCTCCCGAGTACATTTGTGTGTGTGTGTATTCCTCGGTTGGGACTGGATCGCAGCACAGAAGTGCGCAAAGTGAGAGGCTCATCTCAAGGCGTGCTACTTACTCAGAAGTAACTCCCACCTTGCTCAGTGGGGCTTACTCCCAAGGAAGCGCGAATCTGTGGTTTGCAGTGGGATATGGGCTTCGCCGGTGGAATCTTAAAAACGGGGCCTCCTGATGGCCGTGGGTCCATTCATTCACCTTTTGTACCCCGCTTCTAAACACCTTTATTAGCAAGTAAGCCGTACGGAGCTCAACGGGACTTAACTCCCAGTCCTAGTAAAAAGGAACAGGAGCGGCGTGGTTGGACCACCTTTGCATACTCCTCCGGTTCCCCATCTCTTCCACCCACCCTCCCGCCCAGCTCCTTTGGTCCGCTTGAGGCTATTTTTGTTTCTCCTTGCAGAGAAGGGGGTGTCGTGTCTTACCCACCTTTGCAGAAACCAGACTAGAGCCGTTTTTTAAAAAAATGTTATCTTACACCAGGATGGCCCTAACATAAGGACCTATTCAAAATGCCTCAAAACGGAGGGAGCGCGACCTCCCCAGATTTATTTTTTTAAGGGAGGGGGAGACACAGAGAATTGGATGGAGGTTTGAGGAAGTTTTGGAGAGGGGGCACCGTTTAGGAGATCTTTGAAACACAGGTTTTAAAATGATACCCGTACCCCCGAAAAAAAAACCTCAGAGATGCCTGGGGGCTATCTATGATCCAGGAAAAGGCGCCTTGTATCCTTCAAACAATAACTCGCCACCATCTCCCCATCCTTGTTAACAGCTAAAGACCCACATTTGCGGTCCGTTTCTCTCCTGAAGCCTAAAGTTAGAACCTCCTGAGAAACGGGGAGGGAGAGCTTTTTCCAGCTTCCCCCCACCCCGCAAATGTCGGTGCCTTTAGCTTTAAATATGATATAACCCGTTTGCTACTGTCCCTTTAAAAAAGACGAGCTGAAAAAGCTGTGTAAGCGCTGATTGGCTGCCTGTTTGGATACATCCTTAGGGGGGACTAGAAACTGTTCGCCAGGGTTGATTTTTTTTTTTAAACTGTGCTGTTCCAATAAACAAGTAACGCCCCTCCCCCTTACATGCCTATCACCAAACAATTAAAGGGTAGGTCAGTGTCCTGGGGAAAAAAACAGTGGAAGAAGGAAAACTCAAACCCAGAGTTAATATAAACTACAAGCGCGCACACGCCCATTAAAGTTCGGTGATATTGTTCAAAGGTGTATATTTGTTTAAAAGGGGGCAGAGTCTTCTTAACGTGAGCAGAGCCCCTGAGTGATCTGTATTATGGATCTTTAGAAAGCGAATTTATGTGCGTTTTCGGAGTAATGTTCCTTCCTTCCTCCTCTCGCTCTTCCCCCCACCCCGCCCCCAGGAAACGATACAGCCCGGAGCTTTGTACTCGCCTTGATTTAATCTGTGCTATGCGTGGTTACTGAGGCTTCCAGGGAAAGGTAACATTCAAAGGCTGCAGAGCACTCTATCTGCGGTGGAAACTTGCAAGTTTTAATATATTTTTTTTCCCGGTAGGTGGCATGGAATTCACAGAAGGAAAAAGATACTCACCACCACAGATCCCTTTAAAAAAGCGTGTATATATATATATATATATATATATATATATATATAAAACACAACACATTACATTTAGGAGTTGTGTGAGCCATCAGTAATTGAATTAGTTTGGTACAGTTGGGGTCAAAATTCCTTAAAACCGTAAAAGCTAGCAGTTTTCTTGCTCAAAATAAATCCTTTGCTTTCCTGGTGTTTATTTCCAATGTTATTATTTTTATCATCATTAGCATATGGGGTAGTTTGGGTGATCAACTTTTAGATGCATGATGTAGATGGACAAAATTCAAGCACAGATCGGAGGAGGAGTTTCATTTTCCCTGATTTACAGCAGTGCCTGCATTGTTAGAGTAACTTTCCTTGTAGGATCTCAAGTAAAGGTCAAAGGAGTTGGATGTGTTTGACAGCTTGGAGAAAACACGATGAAGAGGCAATATGATAACCATAGTCAAATATTTGTAGGGTTCACACATAGATGACAGAGCAAATTTGTTTCCTGTTGCTCCAGAGGGTCTGGCTACAACCAATCAAGTTAGAATTACAAGAAAGGAGATTTAAAGTAAGCGTTAAGGAGGATTTCCTTTGGCCATGGGATGCTGGACTAGGTGGGCCTTTGACTTGATTCAGGAGTGAACAGAGAGATGGGCCACATCAGGGGTAGGGAACCTCAGCACTTTCCCCCAGGCCACTAACAGGTCCTGATTCACAACCTGGGGGCTTTCATTGGAATGTGTCTTTGAATTCTGACAATGCCTCTTCCTTGTCTAGATGGAGGACAGAGCGGGCGTGTGAGTTTGTGTAGAACAGGCTTCCTCAAACTTGGCCCTCCAGATGTTTTGAGACTACAATTCCCATCATCCCTGACCGCTGGTCCTGCTAGCTAGGGATCATGGGAGTTGTAGGCCAAAAGCTTCTGGAGGGCTGAGGTGGAGGAAGCCTGGTGTAGAAGGTAGCTAGCTGTACAGAGGTAAAATCCATCCATCTGCCCACTTTTGCCTCTGGCTCCACCTGCCACTGTCACCTGGTCGTTGGAAGGTTGCGCAGAAGGAAATGTGGCCCCCAGCTGAGAAAAGGTCACTCCACCCTGGAGCTAGGTGATCTTTGAGGTCCTTTCTAATTCTGTGATTCTAGAATTCTACTTTGAACCTAAGAAATCAATGAGGGCGTTAACAATTACAGTCATACCTCAGGTTGCCTTTTTTGGGGTTACGGACTGCCGAAACCCGGAAGTACCGGAACAGGTTACTTCCGGGTTTCGGCAGCCGCACGTGCGCAGAAGCACTAAATCACGCTTTGCGCATGCGCAGAAGCACCGAATCGCAACCCGCGCATGCACAGATGCGCCGCTGCTGGTTGCGAACGTGCATCCCGCATGGATCACATTCGCAACCCGTGTCCACTGTATTGGAAATCACAGAGGGTGGGGGAGGACCGTGCTCCTTGTTGAAGAACTTCCTCCATAGGAAAGGCACAAGCACTCTGCAGTTTCCCTCACTTGGGGTGGATGGGTGGGTGTTTTAAAAACATTTATTATAGCAACTTTGCATGTGAAACCAGAGAGAGTGAGAAGCGTGTCTTGCAATAGGCTGCATCGGCCACTGTGGTTTGCTCCCAGCAGGGTTCTGTGCTCTGTGAAAATGTCTGACAAGCAAGAGCTGCTTTTTACCACAAGGGGTTTGTACGTGATGGGCCAGGATATCGCTTTTGGGGCCAAAGTGTGCAAGCAGCACTTTGCAGGAGGCAGAGCTAAGTATAGTGAACCCTGCAAAAACTATGCTGCTGGAGTTTCCTTTCCACATCCTTGTCAGCTGTGGATTCCAGGGTCTGTTTGCAGAGGAGAAAATGCTTGCAGGAGGATGTGGATCCAAGGAGTCACAGAATTCCACTGTCCATGTGCCCCTTTGCAGCATCTCAGGGTCAAAGTGGGATTTTTGGAAGTACTCTTTCTGCTTTCTCCAAGTCAGAAATACTGAAGAGGGTCTGTTCCTAACAGATCTTTGGCCCCTTCCCGAGCTGATACCATTTCATGCGCTGACCAGTTTCCTTCTCTGTCCTGGAAATGCCAATCGATACCATGAGCAAGCAAAAAAATGACAACAGCAACCCACAAGAGCAGCAGTTTCAGAGAAGGAAAACAAAGCTCACTCCAGCCTTCTTACCCTTGAAGAGGGTCGTTTTTCTTCCTTGGAAACCTGCACAAAGGGGAACATTTGCAACGCCTATGATTTGTGCTTTGAAGCTCTGTTCCAGGCATCTCTCTTGCTAGCTAGTTTGCTTTCCTTCCAGATATTTGGCAATAGGTGGCCTCCTCTTCCTCTGCGCTCCGCGTCCCTTATGGTCGGGTGCTGCAGTGAAATCAGAAAAAGAAGCCCTTATTGGTGACATCAGCCTCCACCAGAAGGATTAAAGAGATGTGCCAAATTCAGCCTTGTGAGCTCACTGCAAGGAGAACCAAGTGGATACACATGATGGGCTGGGAAGGAGCCAACCTTCCCTTTCAACATAAACAGCTTCCCAAAGTGGAAAGAGGAGGAAGATGACTGCCGAAAGATAGGAATGCATGTTTGGGACTGGGATATTTACAGACCTAACCCCAGCTTTCTGCAGA